CTGCCGCTGGCCCCTCGGAGCCGGACGAGCAGCCGGGGAGGGCCGGGGAGTGGGGGGCTGCGTCTCCCTGGCTGGAGCAAGGCCGGGGCTGCTGCCAGCGCCCGGGCCTTGGACTCCCCGCCACAGGGGGTGCGGAGCCCTCACCTGGCGCCTGCTCCTGACCCGCCCCGGCACCCGCGTGTGCCTGAGGACCCGCCGGGGCTCCCTGCAGGCTTGCGCCCCTGGGCTCAGGGGGCCGCGAGCGCGTGTTGCTCTGCACCTCTGGCCGAGCCGGTGGGTGGCCTCAGGTTTCCAGCTCCCTGGGCAGTGTGGGGGCCACAGCGAGCCAGGGAGCCCAGTGGGGGCCGGAGGCTCCGGGAGGGCGCGGGCTGAGGTGGCCTCAGGGGGCAGCAGACCACAGGGCGCCTTCACAGGAGCTGCCTCTGCCCGGCGCCCGGCGGCAGCCCCAGCCTCACGGCGGCCAGCTCCGGACCTGAGGTCCCACAAAAGCCCTGTCCTGCGTCCCCCGCCCGCCTCCTCCCGGGGCTGGTGCCCAGAGGCCTCCCCAGGGCCGGATCCATGCCCCCTCGGGGCTCTGCCCCATGGGACCGTGTGGGCAGGGTGCCCAGAGTCCCGGCGGAATGGACAGAGGTGGGTCTCCGGTGGCCACACCGGGTGGGCGCGGCTTCCAGAGGCCTGACGGGGATGGGTCAGGTGAGTGGGGGCCGTGGGGCTGGGGCTCAGTCCCTGCATCCCGCTGGAGGGGGCCTGGGCCGGGCTGGGCAGTGCCAGGGTCCCGAGGAAGCCCCAGGGCCGCGGAGCACGTGCCCGTTACTCAGACCTCAGCAGGAGAGGCCCTGGGGACAGGCTGTCCGACCTGGCCAGACGGTGAGTGGACAGGGCACGGGCAGTGGCGTCCCCACGCGTGGCCTGACCGTGTGGAAAAGAGGCTCAGAGTGAAGCTCAGAAGTCGCAGAAAGCCGGACGCGACGCAGCCCCAGCCTGCCTCACGCCGGAGCGGGCCTCACAGGGCCAGGGCAGCCCCGCCTCTGGCCGGCACCCGGGACACCCCATCCTCCCCCAGCCGCAGGCCACAGCCCTCCAGCGGGCTGCTCGTGCCGGAAGCCGGGTCCCACCCCGAGGCACCCACGCCGGGCTGCGACTGGGGTACGGCCCACCCTGGGCACCGCGGCCGGCCCAAGAGCCCCCAAGACCCCGCCTTGGGCAGGCGGGTGGGGCAGGCCGGGAAACTCACATGGAGCCGAGGCGCAGCGGCGACCCGGAGCCGGTGATGCCGGGTGACGGGGCTGGGCGCCGACACCCCGAGCCCCGTGACTCCCCACGCGCACCCCGCGCTGCACACGACCCAGCCAGCACGCCCTCCGCCCCCGCTCCCAGAGGCTCCTGGGGTGCAGCTGCCCCTCCCACACGCCGGAGGCTCTGGGAGGAACCCCGGCCGGCGGGGCGCGCGGGCT